ATGCTTCTACCCAAAAACTTACATAATAAGCAGAGCAAACAGTTCGGTTGAGCACTATCCAACACTCACTCCATTTGGTGCGCGGCTTTGGGAGCTAAAAATATTTGATTACTCATGGGGAATCTTCCCATGATTTTCATTCATTAGACTTGGAAATTTTCCCACACAAATATCATATAATGAATCCTGCAGCTCTTTTCAAACTCCCATGGAAGATGTGTTTAATTTGTTTTCACTTGTTCTCCTCGAATTTGTCCTCGAATTTGATCTCCTCTCTTCCATATAAACAAACCTCAAACCGCAATGCTCCCTCCGGTCGATTCTGCATGGGGAATCGACTCGTAGACCTCACCCACGAGTTTGAGTTCTACGATATTGAAAATAAATCGTAAATATAAAGATATAGTTTCCCCCAAACAGTATAGGATTTCTTAAAAAACTCCTCCAGAAATTGCTCGAAATTTTGATTGGCTCTCGGTGGTCATTATGGTTGCCAAATAGACCAATAGATCTATTTGGCCAATAGACCAAGATCAGTCCTTATTCTCACCATTTTTTTTAAAAAATTACTTACTTCTATATAATGAAACTTTCTGACCCACCACCATCATCTCATCATATGACATGAAATTAGAAGAATATTCTTTAAAAATTGTCATTTTTCGAATTCTTATCAGCTAAAAGCGATCTTTTCCTGCCAATTTTTACTGTTTTTAAAGCAAAAACACTCACAAACGCATCTTTAAACACTTTAAAACCTGGACAAGCTTTTAAAAACATATATTTAGCAGCTTAAAAATGCAAAAGTATGGTTATCAGTCGAACTTTCAAACCAAAAGCCTCAAAAACCGACTATTCGCCGAGAGATGCAACTGTTTTAGCTGATTAAAATGTCCGACTTCAAAAATGGTAAAAGAGAAAAAACTTGCGCCCCCAAATTTTGCTTATTTTACACCACGATCACCACCAGAGCCACTTCCAAGTTTCGAGAAATTTTCAAATTGAATCTGGGTTCTTCTTGTAAAAACACCTTGTAAACCAAAGCTCATCAGTCTAGAATTTAAAGTATATTCTCTTCTATGTTATCTTTGCTCGTACGGCCCCTTCTTTGGAATAACTAATTTTGTTGATCGAAAAGAAATCATGTGTTCAAAGAATTCGAATACCGTATTCTCTCTAATAGTAGTGCGCACTACTATTTTTTCAACTCCCTCCTGGACCGCAATACTATTAGAGAGTGCACTACTATTAAAGAGTTTTATCATTATCACCAAAAGTAAGACAGATATAAGATTTGTTCCAAAACTACTTGCAATTCTTTCACGTACTCCTTTGGCTCCTTTGACATACAGTTGTGGGCCGGCGAGTTGACAATTTGTGCCTTGACAAACAACAAAAGATGTTTTTGCACTTTGCACAAGAATTTTAGATTTTTGCTAACTTTTTCATGTGAAAAATAGTTAATAAATGAATAAAAAGCCTCGCTTTTGCTTGCTTGAATAGCTTTAGAATGTCACATAAACATAAACTCAAAAGGTTTAGATGGAAAAGAAGCACCAGAAATTCAAATTTTCGAGGGTGCACTACTATTTTTGCAACCCCCTCCTGGACCGCAATACTATTAGAGAGTGCACTACTATTAAAGAGTGCACCACTATTAGAGAGAATACGGTATTTTTATGCCTGAATTGCTTATTTTTTTTCAGTTCTTGGACCAGTATGTTCACCAATCAATTCACCTCCAGAATTTCACCAAGAACTTTCCCGATTTTGTTTTCAATTCTACCACCGGTCCATAGCAGAAAATAAGCATTGAGGAATTGAGTAGAATAAAGAGTAATCTCATTCGTTCATTGAAAATGTATATGATATCAGAGATTCGTTCCGAATTTTCAAAAATGAAACTTGATACGTTTTCTCTGAAGTTTAAATCGGTTTCCCCATATAAACAATGAGTGATGTTTACTTTGAAATTTTTGATTCCGAGTCGTTGGAGAGAGCAATGGGGAAACTTCCCGATTTCTGAAATTTAATGATTTGTGATTTGTGTGGTAAAAACGCTCTACAAATTAAATGAAAAAAAAATGCGACAGCAACCAAAAAGGGAACTATAAAGGAACTATATAGGAACTAAATAGGAACTATACAGTAACCAAATAGCAACTAAATAGAACTATACAGTAACCAAAAAAAGATTAATTTAGCACTAACCGTGATAGAAAGAGATCACCATACCTCTCTGTGGTACCTCTAAATTGAAAGTGCATCTACTCCTTCGTATAAAAACTATTTAAACATTGGCTCGTGGCTAGCCATTGGTTAACTTTTTTTATAGAAGAAAATTTAATCAGAAAAAGATTTATTCCGCACATTTGTATGTGTTTTGTTTATGGTTCGGGTCCCCAATCGGCGTATTTCTCAAAAAGATGGATCCATTCTCGCAATCGTTGCAACATATTACCGTAGGCTCCATCATCTCGGAACTCCATCGGGGCGGCTCCGTTCTTCCGTCGTCGTCGTTGTGATCGGCCGGGGCTCCACTTCACAGCCACGTTGCTGAGAAATATTATATTATATAAATGTAATAGATATGATCTGGATGTATTTAAATCTTATCTATCTCTTTCACGTCGAGATCATACTGGGATCTCAGCAATACCGCCTAGCAAGAGTTGAAAAACAGGATCCCAAAAGAACACCGGTAGCCCCGGTATACATTTAATTCCTTCTCAACTCACCTTCCCACTCCCCAAACATTCTGATGAATGTACTAATTGCCCGAATCACGAGCCGCTGGATCGTTACTGTTGGCGTAACACCAGAAGCACGTCGTTTCCCCAATTGTTCTGACCGAATCCCCAAGACAGTGACTGAAAAAAGATAGCAATATGGTTTTTTATCTTTTCAAAATTTTATCAATCCAATTTAAAGTTTTCAAGTGAATTTGGTTTCGCTTACACGTCTATTCTTGTTCTTGAAATGGACGATGACTACCACTACTACTGCTCGATGAAATAACTACAATTACAAACAACAGTGAGAGTATTAATATTTTTTATGTTTATTATGATACACGGTTTGCATGTCTTACTGTATATCTTATCCCCTTCCCATCCCACTCAATCGCCTGCCTTAATGTCCACCAATCACCATCATCAGATCCTTCTTCAACAATAGCATCATCGGCTGATGCAATATTTGAGATAAATAGAAGCTGATGAGAGTTTATTGGTGACAAACCACCGAATAGTTCTGATTGATTTGATCGACGATATCTTGGACTGCTTGTCCGAAACTAATCGACCACCCCACATTCGATTAAGCCGATTGATAGGAAAAGAAGGGTAAAAAGAGCAAGAAACGACATTTTTGAAGTAGAAATCGTTATTCAATCTGAGATTAGAGGAAGAATGAGTTGGATTGATGGGAATATTCGACGGGTTTAAATAATGAATTTGGCATAAAATATTTTTTTTAGTCTATGGATAAAGCTGTTATGTTGAGGCAATAATCAAAATGAAATCTAAAATCTATCCATATTTTGTACATTCACAAGATTTATTGAGTTTTTCTTGTTGAACTCCTGCACTTTTTGAATAAGCATATACTGGAAAAAGATTATTACAAAACAAACAACAAAACAAGTGGAATGAAAAAGGAATCCCCACTAGAACTGAAGTTTCAAATTTTCTAGCACATATTAGGTTAATGCATAAGTCTTTCCCTTTTTTCGTGCTTCCGTTAAAAAGTAACAAATTCAATGAATTAACCTATGGTTCTCTATCAAAAGTCTTTAAAAGGCTCTACGAAGAAATGGGCTGAATGAATTTCTCTGAAAATTTGGCTTTATATCAAACTTTTCTGCTCTATCTTTTGGATCAGTTCACAAGAATATAGGTGTCCTTTACCTTTAAGTGTCTAAACCGAATCATCGAGTTTAGGCCCTTTCATGCACCCAAAAAAATCCAGGCAAAAACGGTTTTAATGTTATTGCAGAAAAATACTGGTCTTCTAATGAACTAAACCGTAGTTCAATTGGTGCATTTGTTGGTTTTAACTGAAGTATTTGAAAAGAAACGAAAAGATTCTATGCAACAACCTAATATTTAATAGAAGATTTGACGCTTGGTCTAGGAGGAATCATTTTCATTCACTTGTTTTGTTGTTTTTTTTGTAATAATCTTTTCCAGTATATGCTTATTCAAAATAAGTGCAGGAGTACGAAAAACTCACAATCATGTGAATGTACAAAAGATGAATGGAATTTTAGATTTTATTTTTGATTATTGCCTTCAACAATAACAGCTATATCCATAGACTAAAAAACAAAAATATTTTGTCCCAAATCCATTGTATAAAACCCATCGAATATTCACTTCAATCAAGTCATTCTTCATCTAATCTCAGATTGAATAACGATTTCTTCTACAAAAATGTCGCTTTCTCTTTTTACCCTTCTTCCCTATCAATCGCTTAATCGAATGTGGGGGTGGTCGATTGGATTTCGGACAAGCAGTCCAAGATATCGTCGATCAAATCAATCAAGACTATTCGGTAAATGTCACTAATAAACTCTCATCAGCTTCTATTTATCTCAAATGTGCATCAGCCGATGATGCGATTGTTGGAGAAGGATCTGATGATGGTGATTGGTGGACATTGGAGCCGGAGCGGTGAGTGGGATGGGAAGGGGATAAGATATACTGTAGACATTTAAACCGTGTATCACTAATAAAAATAAAAAAATAGTAATACTCTCACTGTTGTATGTAACTGTAGTTATTTCATAGAGCAGTAGTGGTGGTAGTCAATCGTCCATTACAAGAACGGAACATGACATGTAATTATGGTAAGCCAAACCAATTCATTTGAAATCGATCTTTTTCAGTCACTTTCATGGGGATTCGGTCAGAACAATTGGGAAACGACGTGCTTCTGGTGTTACGCCAACAGTAACGATCAAGCGGCTCGTGATTCGGGCAATTGGTACATTCATCAGAATGTTTGGGGAGTGGGAAGGTGAGTTGAGAAGCAATTAAATGTATACCGGGGCTACCGGTGTTCTTTACGGGATACCGTGTTTCAACGTTGCTGAGCTGTATGATGTGATTGAAGTATGATCTCGATGTGAAAGAGATAGATAAGATTGAAATATATCCAGACTACACTCATATAATATAATATTTCTCAGCAACGGCTGTGATGGAGCCCCGGCCGATCACAACGACGACGACGAAGAGAACGGAGCCACCCAGTGGGAGTTCCGAGATGATGGAGCCTACAGTAATATGTGCAACGATTGCGAGAATGGATCCATCTTTGAGAAATACGCCGATTGGGGACCCGAACCATAAACAAAACACATACAAATATGCGAATAAATCTTTTTCTGATTAAATTTTCTTCTATAAAAAAGTTAACCAATGGCTACGACAACGAGCAACCTCGGGCAAAAAAAGAGTTAAAAATTGTTGTCAAAGAGGATTTGGTTTGAGTTAAAGAAAAGTTTATGAAAACTATCATAAACTATTATAAAAACTTTTAGAAAAACGCATAGTACGATAAATTTAAACTCGTTTTCTCAAAAGTTTTGTTAAAGTGAGGTAAATTTAAAAGCTTTATCCTAATCGAAATCTTGCCCTTTTTTATTTTAAATGAATCTCATTTCAAAGTTTAATATAAAATACATATCAAATACATAAAATACATTAAAATGCATGCACATACAAATACATAAATTTTGCATAAAGAAACCAATAAACCCCAATAAATCTACGAAGTTTTAAAAAAATCCTTTGCTTCATCATAAACAATTGGTCTTTAAAGGGAGGGTAATCGCGGCCAGGTGATCATAAAAATTTTTTTAAGCCAACCACCTGTTTTTATATTTTAATATTGCTAATTTTATTATAAAAAGAATAAAAATCATCCGGCTAGAGTGATTTGATGGTTTAACAAATTTTTAGAGGTTCTACTAATCTCCTTTTTGCTTACTCTAATCCTTTCCATCTTAAGTTGGCTCGAAAACTTCATCCGCTGCTTCTCTCTTTTGTTTTCGATCGTTTGCTTTCCTATTTTGCTGCGTTTCTTTGGTCGACTCATTTTTGGGTGTCTGACAAAAAGAAAGAATTATTATGACATGAAAATGATAAAGTAAGCTCGAAAAAAAGAAGAGCAACGAAATGGGAAAAATTCTTTGCAACCGCTCTTTAAGTAATTTTGTTTTTC